CCTGAAACTATGTCATCAAGTATTTTAAAACTTGTATTTCTGTATATGCAAAGCAGTTTAAAGGCAGCCTGTGTAGCGTAGGATCTGTGCATTGATATCGTGTAAGAATTTCTGAGCAGAGATTCTGTAAATGCCATTAGAAGTGGCTCATGAGCTTTTTTACTGCAAATTATATTCTTTGTTGTCCAACCTCTTTGCGTAGTTAAATCCTCATTCCTGTTGTGGTCATTGTCATTGTAAAAGCCCTCTGTAAGCAAAAGGACAGTTTGTAAAATCTGTTTGGAGGGAGAAGACTGGGGGTTTTTTTGTAAGCCTTGGCTTCAAATCACATATGGCTGCTCATGTTGCTGCTGAGCAGATGCTGGGTACTTCCAGTCTGTTGTAAATCTGTTGGAAACAATAAAAGAGGGTCATTACAGTCCTGTAAAAAGGAGGAAAATGAGAGGGAGAAGAGATGTTTGTTTCTATGCTAGGAATTACTTAAATTGCATTCCCCAGGGAAATCTGGTGTATGACAGCCAGGGAGTGATAGTTTGGTTTCAGCAGTAACAGCAATAACAACACTGTACATTATAGCATTCTTCACATAGCTCAAGGCTTCCAAAGAGATTTTGTGCATGTGTTAAGTGATACTGAAGCCTCTGTAGTACAGGATGTGTGAATCAGCCCAGTGAAGTTTAAAAAATACTTGTGTTTCTGTTCACAGAACAAATTATGCCAATGTGAACCAGGAGGCAGCAGAATATTTGGGCTATTATAAAATGGCAGAGCCAAGGTTTTGCCACTCCCATGCCTTCTGAAAAATCCAGCCTGACACAAAACCTGCCTTTGTTCTGTTAGCAAAATTTCATTGGTTTCAATGTATAGGTGACCTAAACTTCATTTATAGAGCTAATTTGATCAGACTGAAGGGTCTGAACAAGATCTTGCTATATGATTTAAAATATTTCAATAGTTACTAATAGTTTATTAATAACTTAATTCACCTTTAATGTTAGAATTAATCCATTTAAATACAGGACCTTGAGAACATAATTTTCAATTTTCATACACTGGGTCTTCAGTAGGGTTTTATGCAAACATAGGATACGCACCCACATAAAATATATTTTTATTTGGACACTTCAAAGTATAGATATTTGTTAACATGTAGCTATGCCAAAATGCTTCAAATAAATATTAGTGCTCAGTAAGGATTGTGTCAAGTGGAAACTCATGCCAGCTTACTGCTGTTAAGGTTTGTGGTTTGAGAGATGGTTGACAGTTTCATCAGTGGGAGGAACAAGAGGAACTTCTCAAGGAGTACCGGAGTATCGCCAAAGAAGTTTGTGTACAGTGGAACTGCAGCTAGAGCCAATTTAACTGACCCAATTTTTGATATTCCATTTTGTCCCTCCCCTCAAGTTTTATACCATCTGGGACAGTTTCAATATTGCTCAGTGGGAAATAAAATCAGGGCTTTTGTTAGGCCCGCTCAAATTATTTAGCAGCCAAGTTCACAGCTACTTTGCTGTGATACTTCCATCCCTACAAATGTGTTTCTGATCTTCTGGTTACTCTCCTGCTCTGCTTTGCTCTAGCTGTCTTGCATTGCTCTTCCTTTCTACCCTGTCCTTCTCAGGCTCTGGAGCAAGGGCTGGGCACGCTGGATGGTGGTGGAGACATTCTCAAAGGCACAAATTGCTCTCAGCTCTTGCACATTGCAAATACTTGAGGGGGTGGCCTGCACCCAGGTGCCAGGTGTGTAGGATCCCAGCGGGGACAAGATACAGCAAGATGGTCACTACTGAAAATGCTGTAAGGCAGGAGAACTGGAAAACCAGAACCTGTCAGTATTGAATACAAACACTGCTGCCTCTTGTTACTGCCTTCAGAGTGGGAAGGACTTAAGATACTTTGTCACTTAGAAGTGAGGGATGTCATGCGTGAAGGTCTGCGTGTGGTCAGGGCTGAAAAGACGTTTAATATCTCTGCATGTGCTGCTCCATTCTGTCCTCTACCGAGAGCACTCACCTCTAGTGAATCTGTGGAATATGCTTCAAAACCAGTAGCTTTGATAAATAATAAAAAATATAAATTTTGAGAAATAATAATATAAATGGTTCCTGTAGAGGATACAGCCTTAAGTGTGCCAGCCTAACCAGTTGAAGACTTCTGCTTCAAAGGGGGACAACTTATGCTGTGGTTTATGTACTTCAAATAAGTCTGGGGGAGACCCCCTAGATATCACATCCCACTCTACACAGTATGTTCATCCTGCTGCTATGTAGAAATCCAAATAAAAGCTTTCTCTTAGCTAGTTTCTACCCATTTATTTTTGTGTCAGGGCCGCCTTTTAGCTAAATCTTGTAAGCATTCTGCTGTCAGCAGCTCTGCATGGAGAGGAATCTTAGATTAACAAAGTGCTCCAGGAGCATTTTGTGGTGTGCAGGGATAATACATTATGCAGAACTTCAATACATCTGTAACAGTAATTGGTTTTCAGAGTTGGGTCCTAATGCTGCACATCCTCAAAGTTTTGCTGATTTTAATGAGGATTCAGTTCATCAGTGGTCTGCAATAGTTAGATTTGTATTTTGTCAGTGATAATTTGTCTGGTAAGGGAGGCAATTTTCTTTGGATTGCATCTGCAAATAATCTATTGCAAAAGGAAAAAACAACCGAGGAAAAAGGAATTGTTTTGGTTGCTGAATAGAATGATCTTTAACAGCATGGGCATTGACATTTGAAAGAAATAAACATACTTTCTTTTTCCAAATGGCTGCTCTTTATAAAAATGGCTCACTTGTTAGTTCACTGTCTTCAAAGATAAAAAGGAAATTTTGCTTATCTGTCTGGCTTGGTTGATGGGTCATTTGCAAACACTGTTGTCCAATTGGAAGTGGAGGAGAAAAGGCAGATGATTCTTGTCAAAGGTGCTTTAATTTTTAAAAGATGCTCAAGCTTTCCAAATGTAGCTTTTTTTTCCATCCAGGTACAAATATGAGATCGATATCAGCATCCTGGGACTTCATATTGTATTCCTTGACTTTGTAAATTTCACTTACCGAGAAAACCAGTCAGGCCTTCCTACTAATTAATAAATCACTAGGATTTATTAATTAGTAGGAAGTAGGTGCAGTAAGAAAAGTAAGAGAAAGAAAACACGTTGACTGTTCAGTGGATTTGTAATACTGGAATGTTTTGTTTTCCTCTAACAGTAGGAAATTGCTACACCCACAAAAGGTATATAATTTAGTGTGTTCTTCTGTTAGTAAACACCTCCTTCCTCATCAAGTGGAATCTAGAAACCTGTTACTGCAAAAAAGCCAGGGAAAATTGTCATGTCACCATGGATCTAATCATTATTGTTATTACAGTAAAGTTTCACAACCCTGCTGTGGAGAGCATGGCATACACAAGCATCCAAACCCTGGGAACTCCCACCTGCCATGCTAACCCTTTCATGACCAATGAGTTTTGGACAACCTTTGGTATCTGCAATGACAATCTAAAATAGTGGGATTAAGCCCATTTAAGTTAAGACAGTCAAGCATTATTTATGTAAAGGAATGAAATACAGTGTTCTCATGTACTTTAAAAGACAAGTAGAATAATGAGAATTTGACAATGAATTCATGGTTTATAGCAGAGATGGAATAACCCTGCAGTGTCTTTGTAGTTCTGCTGGGGACAAAAGGAAAAGCTATGTGGATTAATTTGAAGATTTAATAAGGCAACTGGAGAGAGTAGCCTGTTTGATTCCTGAACTCTGGAGCACCTGAGAGCACTCTTCCTCTGTTGGGAGAAGGAAAAAAGGCATGTTTTATCAAGAAAATCTTATTATTTCTCTGGTGAGAAAAAAAGCAACCACATGCACTTGTACTTGAAGTTGCAGTGGTTGTGATCTTTTCAAAGATCTAGAGATTACTCATTTTGTCATGATGAGCTTGTTTCTGAACTGCTGAGTTTGTACTGAAGTGCCTTAAATGCTTTTGAATCCTCCCTGGTGAGAATGTTGCTGCAGGGTGAAGTTCAAACAAAATTCTCTAGTGAAGGATGATGGTCTAAAACCATCAAGAAATGATACAGATTAAGTGTGAGAAGGCAAAGAAGGATGGGAATTTGGTAGCCAAAGTGATCCAGCGAGGCTGAGCAGAGTTTGGAGAATCTCTGCCTAACTTCAGAAAGTGAACCAAACCTTAAACCAAAATACATGGTCACATCTCTGAGTAAAAATGAAGCAAATGGGTCCTTTGGGAAAGGACATCAACCTTAGGGAAATACTTGGACTGCCACTTACTAATTGAAATAATGGATTTACTCAATGAGCACGGTGATGTAGAGGTAAAAGATGGGGCATGTTTGCATTTGCAGGCAGCATGGAAGTCATGCTAAAGCTGCTAAAGAGAAGTAGTGTGACATTTCCCTATGTGTAAGTTCTATCACTGTTTTTCTATTTGTGTTCATTATTTTTTTTTCCTTAATAACCAGTCCTGCTCTGTACAGTCTGAGTGCTGTTTGCCCATTGAGATGTTCTGCTGAAGGATGGGGATCCAAGCACTTGGAGTAATTTATCAAGGCAACCTGAAATCCCTCCAGTCAGCTAGCACTAGTGCTGGGTCTCCTGATGATGGTCTGCTCAGAGTATCACAAGTACTGGATGCTTCCTAAACTACTTTCTGAATTAGTTGCTTGATCTTTTTAGCGGGAATCCTATTGTTTAATTGGTAGAATTGAGTCACATAAACTATTTCCTGTCTAATAAAAACAGTGTCCCAAATTATCCCAAATATTGCGTAATTTTTCTATTAAAAAGTTTTTATTGAGAATGAAATTCTGAGATTTTGATTTTTTTTCTTTGAAATGAATTTAAAATTGTTAGATCTGATTCTCTCATTAAGCATTCTTGGCAAAATAAAAAGTCCTCAAAAGCTCTGGAAGCCATAGCGAAATGGGACTCTGAATTGCATTTCCATCCTCAAAAAGGCTGTTGGAAAGATAACTGTGTGGGAAGTGATCCACTGCAGGGAACAGTCATGTCCTGGCAGCAAGGGTGGACCAGATGACCTAATTTCTCTTTTCCATTGGAGTTGTCTGATTCCTCAACTAGTCATGCAATCACATGACTGACAACAAGGACAAAAAAATATGGAAAGTACATCTCCCAGTGAAACAAATAAATCCTGTTGTTCTTAATTCCATCACCTTGCAAGCACTGATTAATTGAATGCCATACAGTCCTATATCATTACGTTGGTGTTTTAGATGAAACCCTTAAAACTGACTTTCAGTCTGCTCTGTCTGGAATTCAGCACTGCTTCCTCAGCTGCGTGAGACATCTGCTTGGTGTAGTTGATGTGTGAATAGAAGCAAGGCTTGAGAAGAAGAGCTCAGAGAAGGAGTTGCAGGAGTAATATACTCTATTGCCCAGTTTTAATGTTACCCCATATAACTCATCTACAAGATTGTGGAAGTGCAGCACTGTGCTGACTACTCCATTATCATACCTTGTATACATATGACATGAGCTTGCTGAGCCAAAGTCTGCAGTTGGTTAGACTGGCCTTAAGATGGCTTTTTTTTTGCAGCAGTTTATGATTTAGCCATGACCTGGTTATCATGATCTAAAAGGAGACTTTTTCTTCTTTGTTTTTTAATTCCTTTCCCATCACTTGGTGCTTCTTGCTGTCTGAACAGGCTACCTGTTTCTCCCTGAGCAAAGTAGTCCAAGGTCTTGGAGTGTCAGATCTTACCTGCAATATGAAGAATTTTAGACTCAGCATTTAGATTATTATCAAGGGATAAGTCTTTGAAACACATTTTATTAACATAACCTCATGCTGTAGAGTTTGTACATGGAATCTTATTCCCACTTGGTGCATGCCATCTGTAATCATTCTGCATTAACATTATTCACGTCATACCTACAAACAAAACCAAGCATGAAGGGCAAGGAGGCCTGACCGTAGCGTTGAGATGATAATGGATTACAAGAATGCACTTAGAAACACCTGCATCTGGGTGGAGAAGTGAGGGTGTACAAGATAAAGAACTTTAAAAAGCAGAACACACAGACCAATAAAACACTTTGCTGTTTTGATGGAAACTACACAAAACCACTGGATTGTCTGAAAGAGGATGTTTATCCTTGAGATCCTTCACAACTCTGACTTTCAATTACTAGATGGATGCTCATCTAGCCATTTAAGATGCAGGAGGAGTTTGCCTCTCAGAACCACTTTGGAAGAACTGTGGTAAACACTGATTTCCTCCTCGGTAAGAGAAAGTGGAGTAGAGTGCTTTTTGCTAGAACTGTGTGCCATATACTTCCTATTACTGCAGAAACCAAGGGCCTCTGCAATGCCCAATCTCCTGACCTCTTCTTGTACCTTCTTTTTTTAGTCTTTTTCTTAGGTATTTTGGGTTAGAGGATGTTTAAAACCTGTCTTTTAGCTTGGATTTATTGACTACATATTTTATGGGGCCTTCTGAAGTAGATGCCTATTACAGACTTGTATGTACAAGACTGGACAAGTTGTCTATTCCTTTGGCCCTGGCAATCAATTCTTTCCTACTCATGTAGCCAAAAGGAGCACTCTCTCCACCCTGCCACCTGTGGGGCCAGAGACATGGACAAGATACAGGGATGTCAGTAGTTTTCCATGCCCTGCATTCTTCTTCTAAAGTATTTTCCTGTGCAAAGCAATCCCAATTTCTAAAACAATGAGAAAAAAATCTTTGAGCTCTTAAGAAATATAAATAAATACATGTGTATTATAAAAATATCATTGGTTAGTAAGAAAAATGCTGTGATAATGAAGAAGGTTTAACATTTAGAAATGAGGAGTGTCTGACTACTGAGGGACCTGTGTGGAAAGAATGACCAAAAATTAAAAATCTTACATTTAACAGCATATTTCCTGTCTGGTCCTGCTTGTTTTTTTCCTTTGACTTGTGAAGCTTTCCGATGTTTTCTTTTTCCAATTGGAGCAGAGATTGCTGCTGTTCAGGGAAACTGCCTCTGAGACCTACTCCACTGAAACAAAAGCAACTGGTAGATGCAGTTTGATGTATTTGTGTTTGGTTTTCTTCCTTGTCACTGAGCTTTCATATCCATTTGCACCCACCCACATCCAAAACTCCTGTTTGCTATTAGTAATTTGTTTACTTGCTTAATTTCAAAGATCTTTACTTTTAAAACTCTACATATTGCTTCTAAACAGTGTTGTGGGATAAAATGTATCAGTCTGAGCCTTACAAATGACAGCAATCCAAAGGCTGTGCTGATTCATACTCCCTGCCAGCAATGTCTGAAGATTTTCGTTAAATGGGGATTGCTGGGGTACAAAGCTCCAGTGGCAGCCTGTCCTCCTGGGCCATGTCTCCTGTGCTGACAACCAGTTGCTGCACTGAATACGTGCTCTGGAGGATCCCTCTGAGGTCACAGTTATGCAGTCAATTTAGTCCAAAACAAATCCATACTGCCATCGAAATCTTCTGCTGCCTCATCTCTGCTTGTCCCTAGTCCCCCTCTTAGGCTGGCATCAGACAGCCTGAATGCAAAACTACACACAGGGATGGACCCCTTTCCCTCCTCCCTCCCCTGCCCACATGCTGATCCTCAGGAAGAGAAATGCATGAGAGGAAAGGCCAGGAGCACTCCTCCTCCCCATGGCAATGCAAATTAGGATGGATGATGTGGCAACATAACAAAAACTCAGGTACAAGAAATTTAACATCCCTTCTTGTCAGACTCAAGGCAGGTTTGTTTGTCTACTTTGCGCTGTATTCTGGGTCTGGTCTTGTAATGTTCATTGTTGTCTCAAAGTGAGTGACACTCATTAGGCTGCATGATCAAAGTCTCTTTAGGAGTAGTATCTTCCAACAATGAAAGCTCCTGAGTCTCTAACTGCACAAAAAGAAGAGTTGTAAATAAAAGACAAAAATTAAGATCTTCACCAAGGAAAGAAGCTTGGTACCCTTAGCAGAAGCATCAATCCATATGACAACCCAGCAGAACACAGGCATGGTCAGCAAACCTGTTTTACTACAATTTCAGGTGTTCTGCATGATCCAGTTTCTTTCTACCTTCAGAAGTTGGGCTTAAGGGTAAAAACAAATTCAAGCATCAAAAGGCAAACCTTGTTTACAGTCCTCCTGTGCTTTATTGTGTAGGAGGCTGTTTCTGTACTGTTCCAGAATGAAATGTCCTGGTAGTGATGCCTGTAATCAAGGAAACAGGAGAATATGGGATTAATGCAAGAAACAAGATGAGCTGATAATTAACCACAAAAAATTAGTTCACTAAGTAAGTTTAACTCATTAAAATGAAACAATCTAGAGCAAGACTCCTATTTCTTTCAACTGAGAAATGCATTTGTAATCCTCTGTTTAAAATTATAACCTAAAAGATGCATCATATTCAGGAGAATTAAAAGGTGGGAAAATACTGAGTAATACACCAAATAGTTTCAGTTGTGCTAGTGTGTTTATACTGAAGTACATATTTTATTTATAAGTATTTTGTTACAAATATTTACATATGTTTGTATATATATATATATATATATATATATATATTTATGAGAATTGACAATTTGACTGTGTGTGCTTGCAGACAACTGACTCATGTGGTGTTGGAAATTAGTTATAATCAGATGCTAACAACTTTTGGTTACTAAGGACCTAGGCTGACCCCATGCCAGTAACCACACATCATTACCTCTGAGTTTGCAGTCCTGTGAGCCACTCCTGCCTTTGCATAACTTGGATTTCTGGACTCAAATGGGGACATAAAAATGTTGTTAAAATTTTGTACCAAATAGATTACTTTTATTGTGGCGTCTTGGTTGAAGATTGTTTAGAAACCACATTTAACAATTACTTGTCATGTTGTCTGGAAAAAGCATAAATAAAAGTCTAAATCCTTAGAAATAAACTACTCTTTTCTGGAGTTTTGTATACAGGTAAGAACAGCCAGTTTATTTATTAATTTAACTTTTCAAATAGCTCATTTGAATATGGTTTAAGTTATGATAGGAAATACTAGAAGCTTGCACAGCAAACCAGCAATATAAAAGCAAAAAACTCATACAAAATTAAAAAAAAAAAAACTGCTCACATTTACTTACTATCACATATGCAGTATCTTTGCATTAATAGGAGCAAGACAAGTAATATACATTTAAGGCTCTTACAAAACATCTCAACATTAAACTGTTTTTCTACATTGTATAAACTGCACACACACATTTATAAAGTGCAGCTGTTTGTTTATGGCTCCATACTTTACTGATTATGACTTTAATAGCTTAACATCATGCCTCCATTGCTCTTATCATTACACAATGCTGTCAGCCACTAACAAGGCAAATATTTTAATAAAAGCAGCTTAGTTTCAATAATGCTTTCAAGTCATAAAACCATTAAGGCTGGAAGGGACCTATGGAAATTACATGGTTCATATCTTCTCTCAGAGCAAGTCCAACTTCAAAGTTACATGTTCCTCGGGGCGTGTCTTTCAAACACACATAATGCTAAATCATCCCAATACTCTGCATAGCATTAAAAGCATTAATGCAATCAGTTGTTCTCACTAATCCATTAACAAATACATTAAAGTTACCCTGTGTTAAAACTTGCCACTATACTTATTTCATCTTACATAAACAACAGTGTTGCTGGTTTTTTTCCTCTAAAGTCCTTAATTTCTCTTATTTTTATACTATCTATTTTTTATTTTAGACCCCTTATTGCACAGTCATTAAATACAAATATATTTGTATGGTCAGTGGGGTTGGTTTTATTCTTGGGGAACTACCATTGCTTTCTGGAGATTGGGGCTTGGTAAATTATGCTTTAGACTATTTCTTAGATACTCAGAAAGCCAATAATCTGTATTCTCAAGGGACAAATACATGGATTTGTATCAGCTGTGGTAAATGAGAAAACCTGTCCAACAGCAGTACACTAAAATTCAACTGGTTTAATTTTGTTCTAACCACTTTAGTGTTGTAAAAGGCCCTGAAAAGTGATGTTTTCAGTAATTTCAGTATAATTGCCTCAAAACCAGCAGCAATGCATCCTTGCTTACACTGGCTCCAGCAAGTTTTCATCAAAACACACAGAAGAGCTGACTTTTGACAAAAAGGATGGTTTCATTTGCAGTGGATAGTCTGCTTGTCTTACTGATTCTTACTAGGAAATGACTCCTTCAGCAAGGCCCTGGCACAGACATCTGATCAGTCTGTGACCTGACAGAGGCACCTAAGCAGGATGGCCACTGTTACAAGAGTCCAGAGCTCTTGTGCAGACACTGCTGCTGCCCTTCCATGGAAAATGTAAGTGGAGGCCCACAGGATCCCACCACAGATGTTCACCTGTGTCTCAATCTTCCCCGTCAGCTGCCTTGGAGGAGTCTTCCAGACAATCCAGAAATCCAACAATGGTAGACCTCAATTCTGCATAACTATTTATGCCTTCCACTCCTTTTTTTCCCTGTATTTGTGAACACAAATAAATTTTAAAAACCCAATCAGCCAACAAAATGAACTGTAAGTGCACCTAAGAATTCAGTGTGATTTAATTATAAACACAAACAATGACAAACCATATTCAGCATCGTTTAACTGGACAAACTGGAACAGTTTTTGTGAAGCTCAAAGGGAAAAGAGAAGAAGGTATCAAGGAGACAAGAGCAAGAGCTCTGATGGCACTACAGAGTTTGGGTTTTTTTTTCTCTTAAACTTTTTCTTGGTCACCTTTTTGACCTCCTCATCTTTCATGGCCCTTTTTATCACCTGTTTCAGGCTCCTTCTTTGTCCTGATCCCATGGGTCATCTTTTCTCAGCATCTCAAATAAAGCAAGAAAAGTTGCCCAGTGTGGACATCTGACAGCAGAGTAAGTTTGATTCAGCTGAAGCCTGGTACCCAAGTAGCAGAGAACCAGAATCAGGCTTTCCCTGTGTGTCTTAGAGATATGAACTTTATCCTTTGAACCACATTCTTGATGATATTTGTCACACATTTCCTTAACAACTTCAAAAGTGTTTGAGTCCTTTAATTACAGTGCTGTTTACCTACTATCTTAACTAACAGGAATTTGCTCAGAACAGACATTTTCTCAAACACTCCCTTTATTATGTTTGTCCCCAAGTGCAAAAAAAATTTACAAAGAGCCATATTAACATCCCTGGTTATATATAAATCAGTATTCTTTTGAGAACAAAAATATCTAAAGAGTAATAAACAAGTATGAGTTTGTGTCCTAGATTTGCAGTAAACTCTGTGCCTGTGCTTTTTACTTTAGGGACCTTAGAAACTCCTGCCTACCAGTTCTTCACCAATAACACTTTTCTCATGTGTGAGAAACACAAGCTTGGTGTCACTTTTCATAAAGAAAAATACCTCAGATAATCACTTTAAAATGGGTCTAGCACTATGCTTGTTTTCAGGTTATTTCCCAGTTCTTTTAAATTGGTGTTTTTGGTCAGCAGGTGTATAATACCTTGAACACTTGGCTCTTGCACTGTACATCTAATATATATCACTGTCTGTGCTCTACCACTGAAAACTGATTCACACACAGAAAGGTGAGGAGACTTAGACAGAGTCTCTTTAATAGTACCTTAAGTTAGTTGCAGTTGAAATATTTTGGCCAGTGGTTTCCTTACTGGGCCCCATGAGCCACTGAACTCTACTCTAGAATCATATGAAAACATGGTTTTAGGTAGAATTTTAATAATAGAGTGCAATAAGTTTTCAGAGTTGACTACACTCCAGTGGTCCAAACTGTTTGGAGACTCCTGAGCTAGTCTGACATCTGTGATTACAGAATTACCAAAGTGCTCCCAGCTGCCTTATGATGGCCGAGCTGTGTTACCAGGGTGATGTAAGCTACAGCTCAATGAATAACACAGCCAGCATACTTACTGAGGGCAGGTCTCTCGAGGCTCTCTACTACCACTACACAGAATATACTTCCAACCAAACCACTGCAGGTAGGCCAGGAGAAGGATGAAGAGCCTGCACAGGTGTAGAAGGGAACATGCCTTCTAGCAGCACTGTCCTGAAGCAGAAGTGTCTCTTGGAAGTGCTCTTCTCTCTTGTCTTCCTGCCGTGTGCCCTGTATCAGATCTGGCTGGTGAGCACATCCCAGAGCAGTGTACTCGGGCAGGGCTGGGGAGTGGCAATTCTGAGTCACATTTCAAGCACACGGAACTGAAAGCCCTGGAGAGGAGAGAAATGAGGCACCATGAAAATGAGACATCAAAGGCATATAAATAAGAAGACACATTAAAAAAAAAATGTTGAAATCTCAGATGATGGGCAGGTGACTTGAATCACACACAGATATTAAGCAGTTCAAATGCAGCTCCTTTACCAAAGCTCCATCATGAGGACGGCCAGTCTGGGTCACCTGGACCCTGAGGGTTGGATGAAGTGAGCCAGTGCTCCTGAGCCTGACATCACTAGGCTGTCTACAAGTCCAACATATGTGCAGGTCCATTTTGCAGTGGTGAACTGCTGTCCCAGATGCAGGCTGCTCACAGAGATTTCCTTTTCTTGTTGGAAACAGGTGGAATGTGTGAATTATGGTCATATGAAGATTTTGAGAGTGTTCATAGACCAAAGATATTTGGTGAATTTTTCTTTGTAAAGAAATTATTTGAAAATTAATTCTCTTGGTCTCATTCATATACTCAGGAGAGCTATTTTGTCTGAGAAAAAGCTGTGAGGACTTGGATCCAGACTGCCTGCTCAGTGCAGGCACTTACACCTATTCAGAGTGTAAAGTACTTGCTAGCCTGGAGCAGCAAGGCTTCACACATTGCTCAGATCAGTGAGTCGACAGGGTCAAAAATAAGTAAGGAGAATGAAACCTCTGGACTTGTTGATAGCTTGTAGACTCCAGCATCTCGGCAAAAAACTGCCTCCATTCCTCCAGTTCTGAGGTGAATGGGTGGGTTCATTCAATCAGTGGTGCAATTTAGGGTAATTCTGCCCTGTCCTGCTGCAAAGTCACCAGGTCACTACACGAGATCCTCTTGTCCTGACAATTTAGGGTAATTCTGCCCTGTCCTTCTGCTGCAAAGTCACCAGGTCACTACACGAGATCCTCTTGTCCTGATCTTTCCCCTCTATTGAGACTTTAAGATAGTTTCTGGAGGAGCATTAACACAAAGCACACAACTTCTCATTTTACAGAAGGAGAACTGCTGCAACATCTCATCACAGCAATTTTTTCAAGAGCATCTGCTTCTGCAGGAGGCTCGGGGCTCCAGTTCTCACTGTGGAACCCAGGGAAAATGCAAGGTCTTATTTGGTTGGCTGAGGCATTTATCTCTTTTCAAGCGACTCTTAATGATGCCTCATTCACTCACAAGTGGTCTGCTACAGCTCTAATTAGGAATAGCAAGCAAAATCCAACACTACATTCCATGTATTCCATAAATTGCTCCATATTTGAGGTATTGCCAAAAAACCCTAGAAGGCACAAATCCATTCCAGCACAACCTTTTTCTAGCCCACTCTTTTTCTGTTTCTTTGTAATACAGATGGTACAAAATTCAGTACATGAATTTTCCATAGCATGTTGCAGCCTCCACTTACACTTAAATCCCATATTGTCAACCTACCTTGCAAGGGAAAAAAACCCAGAAGTACCACCCCAAAAGAGTTTAATTTGTCTCTTTCATACTATTCTAAGCCTAAACAGGAACTCTTCATATGCATATAAAGACATAGTACATATACACAGACAAATGTAGAAGCAAAGAAGTCTGCATAAGGTAGAATGCCAGCAGATCCTTCCAAACCCAAACATATGCAAATTTAGTCAGTTAAATGTTTTGGGGTGTTTTGTTTTGGTTTCTTTACTATGGTATGTGTCCAGTTGTCCAGCTGCCAGGTTTTGCTTAGACTGCTGGACTATACTGGCAGTGAGTTCCCTCTGCATCTCGTACACCAAAATAGTACAGCTGGAGACTGGCCCACATTTCATTACTTTCCACAAGGTCCACATTTGCTGCCTTTGTATTAACAATACTCCTGGAATAATGTCTCGTCCTAATGTCTGATCAAAAATACTGCCCAGAAGAAACACATTTTACCTTGTGTTTATATTCTCTTTTCTTCTATTAAATTCCACATCAAAGAAGCTTTTTGTAGGAGAGAAAAGAGAATCAATAAAAATATCTGATGTCCTCTGAAGAGCAGGAATTGATACCAGAGATGTTGACATCCACCAGTGTCTGAGACAGCTGTTGGGTGGGTAAGAGAAATCACCAGGATATATGTTAAATCTTCAGGATGTATTTTAGAACCAGAACACAACAATACCAGGGAATTTGACATTAGGTCCAGTGGTTTTTTTAGTTTTTTTGGGAGGGGGGGGTTGGCTTTTTTTTTTTTTTTGGTTGGTTGGGTTTTTGTTGTTGTTGGTTTTTTTTTTTTTTTACTGTAGCCATGAGTGTTACCAAACAATTGCACTGATGAAAAGAAAATCTGATACCAAATAAACAAAGCAAAAAAATTTATTCTTTAAGCTTAAAAGGAAGTATGCTGCTCTGTGGCATTCACAAATATTTGTAAACGTGATCAAGCAGAAGAGAATGTGTCTCTCCATTATACATTGCAAGGTCTTTTCAGACCAAATTTTGTGAAGCGTGCTCAGAGGAACCTGAAGCCACATGACCTGTTAACATTGATGCTAACAGAACTGTCTAAATTACAAAAAGTGATTTAGGATGAGTTTTAAAACTGCATCTTGCTTCCATTTAAAGCATTGTCACAGCTCTTGTTCTCTGAACAGGGCTGGGATGCCTGTGAAAGTATGAACCATCTTGCCAGAGTGTATCCACAGATGTCTGTAAAGGTGAGAAAGGCATGTGTGAAATACCCAGGAAATCATAAAGTTAAGTGGTTTCCATTCATCATTTTGCTGTGGAACACTAAAAAACTCTGGAAAATTCCTGAATGGCTTTGCCAATGACACCTGGTGAATCTTAAATATGTATGTCCGGTAGTAAGATAGTAGTAAGCTTTAAATATGGAAAGGTGTTTTCTGTTTCTCTTAAGATCCCTATTAGGACAAAAGTGTACCAGTCAGATGGCAGAAGTATCTTCATTATTTATACATAAACATGTGCCACCTTTCCTAAAAACTGGAAAGGAAGAGATGGAAGACTGGCAGCACCATCTCCTGGCAGATAAAAGAAATGGGGACCACTTTCTGTCAGAAGGTAGGGCCCAAGTAATTTCTTTGTGGATTTTAAAAGGCTGTAGCAGGAAGTAACTTCACAAGAGTATATTCCCTCCCTAAGAAGATTAAATTTTATATGCTTCAGGGAAGAAAAGCATTATGTGTTATTATAATTATAGAGAACATATGCTCACAATAATGAAGAACAAATTCAGATTGCTTCTGCCTTTAAAAAGCTCTCTCATGTTAGTCTCTGCTTTCCTTTGTGATGCAGTAAT